GTTGAGTGGTAATGATTTGATGGTTTTTTCTATTTCCATAGGGGAAATTGGAGTGGAAATAGTATTGATCTGAAGTGAGTTGGGGGTTTTGGTAGTGTTGAGGAATTTTTGTATGGATATGGATGTTGGTTGGGTAGTGTCTGGGTCGTTTTTGAGATTGTATAATTTTTGGTAGTATGTCGCGAAGGCATTTGCTATTTCTTGTGGATTTGTGAGAGAATTGTGAGTAGTTGGATATTTCATTAGAGAGATTTTGGATTTTAAACGTCTTTGTTTCATTAATTTAGTTAGTAATGAATTTGCTTTGTTACCTAAAGAATAGAATTTTGCTTTCATTTTTTGTATATTAAAATCGTAGAAGGGCTCGTAGTTTATTTCTGTCTGAGGCGAGGGAGCTAGATGTGGAGGGGTTGAGATTTTTGTTTTGTTCTTCTTTTAGTTTAAAAAAATGTAAGGAGTTGGGCGATTTGTTGAGTTCTTGGTTTTGTGATGCGGGGGTTTAATTGTATGAGGATACCTCTCATATAAGCTTTGTAAGCGGACCATAGTGTGGGTATAGAGATATCAGGTGTGTCATTAAGTTCAAAAAACATATTGTGTGCATCCAGTATGTGCTTCTTTTTGTCTGGCTTTTTCAGTAACGATGAATTTAGTCTCCAGATTTGGGGAATCGAGGAATGTTGCTGGTTGTCAAGGGTGATATTGATTGGAGCGTGGTCTGACCATGTTATGGTACCAATTGATGAGGAGGTTATACGTTGTAGGGTCCATTTGTCTGTGATAAAAAAAAGTCAATTCTGGAGTAAGATAGGTGGGATGGGGAGTAGTAGGTGTAATCTCTTTCTGTGCTGTGTTGGCATCGCCAAATGTCAGAGATCGTTGTTATGTAGAAATTGGTTGAAATTATGTTTGGAACATCGTTTGAGGAAGAGTCCAGGAGTGGGTTGCCAATGATGTTGAAGTCACTGCCTATGAGGAGTCTGCCTTGTTTTTAGGAGGAGATGATTGATTGAAGTCTGTTGTAGAACTGTAATTGATTGGTGTTAGGGCCATAGACGTTGACTAGGGTGTAAAGAATTTCGTTGAGTTTGCAGATCAGGATATGGTATTGACCTTGAGGGTCTATCGTTTCTGAGATGTGGTGGAATTGGATAGAGTCCTTTATGGCTGTAATGACACCATTTTTCTTTTTTGGGCTCGGTGCCATGTATACATGGGAGAAGTGCTGGAGGTGGAATTTTGGTTGACGCGAAGTGTGTTTCCTGTAGGAAAAGTACATCAGCATGTAAGGAGCGAGTTTCTTGCAGAAGCAGGGACCTCTTGAAAGGGGAGTTTAGGCCGTGAACATTAAGAGATGATATTTTAATCAATTTTGTAGGTTGTTGATTGGAGTTGAGTAGGAGAATCATTTCTTGTCTTGATGAGAAGGTACATGTGTTATAGTTACAGGTAGTGGTCTTCCATAAGCATGGTGTGTTGGTTGTGGATCAATCATTGGGTCAAGTGGAGTTTTCCGTTGAACGGTGGGTTGGGTTCATTGACTGGTGGTGCAGGAGGGGGGGGGGGGGGGGGGGGGAAGGGTAAAGAGGGTAAAAAAAGATTTGCGAAAAATCCAAGTAACATGAGTAGCGTGAATTGCTACTACGTAACGGGGGTTTGAACCAGCATAGACCGTAAGAGAGGTCATGCTGAAAAGTCTCTTGTAACTTGGAAATGTTCGATATGTGGCCGTTTGCCAGCAATTGGTTAGATGAGGGATAGTGCCCAAGATGGTAGGTGTTTAGTAGTGTTTAGACCTGAAGGATCAGGACCACTCTGCATCCATTTGTTGTATGTTGGCAGGAGTGGAGTGTTGAGGTTCCGAAGGTATTATGTTCAGGTTTTTAGGAGATCGATGCCTGCTTCTAGATTTTTGATGGTGTAGATTTTACCATGTTTACTGGTAAGTTTTGTGGGGAAGCCCCATTGATAACCTATGCCATGGTTCCACAAAGCTTGTGGTTATAGTGACGAGCTTTTTGCGGTTAAGGAGTGTGGCTTTGGATAAATCAGCAAATAATTTGATATTTGCATGTGATGGCGGAAGGGGTGGAGGATTTCTGGCTGTTGACATTTTCTCTTTTACATGGTAAAAGTGTATACGTGCCAATACATCTCTGGGGATTGAGGGCTGGTAAGAAAGTTGGTTTGGGTATTCTGTGCACTCGATCTATGGCGAGCTCCATATCCGTGAGTGAGGGGATGAGGATTTTTATGTATTGTTGGAGATATGGAGTCAGGGTATCGTTGGTAATTGATTCAGGTATACCTCTGAATTTGATGTTGTTGCGTCTGGAACGGTCTTCTAAGTCCGCTAATTTAAGGTTTATTTGTTCAATATCAGCTTCATGGTCTGCGTGTGCGTCAGTCAAGTTGTTATGCGCTGTAAAAATTTCTCCCATTTTGTTTTCAATATGGCGTATGCGGTGTTCTTGTTGTACCACATTAGAAATTTGGAATAGTGATGCTGTGAGATCAATGTGAAGTGTTTGTCGCAGAAAAAGAAGCATGTTTTTCATGGATATTTCAGTGATAGGTTGGTCAGAAGCAGGGAAAGATTCAATTAAAGATGGAGTAGTATTGTGAGGTAGAATTTGTGAGAGAATAGGTTGACTGTCAGGAGTGTATTCAGTATCCAATCTGGGCCTTGATTTAGCAGGGCTGCTTGTGGTGGGAGACAGAGGAGGAGAGGACTCACCCGGGTCTCCTGGGTACAGTGGTGCTCTCAGTCTGGGGTCCAGGTGCTGTGCTGCAGTGTCTCTGTCACAGGAGCTGTGGCCGTTTATACTGCAGCTGGCGCCATGTTGGCTGCATGAGGGGACAGCAGGGAAGAAGCTTTTTAGCTTCCCTGGCTGTCCTGGGGCTTTCCTGCGGCGTGGCATGGCAGAGAGAGGGTTAATATACCCTTATGTAGGTTTTTGGACGCTCGGTACTTCCTGGTGTCAGTGTGAGCCACGTCTCTGCTGGCGGGTGGACGGAGCTCCATGCACTACACGTCCATCCCGAAGCCGGGCCACGCATGCGCCCCCACCAATTTTAAATGTGATAGTGGCTGCAGGGGAAGAGAAACCCCAACTTTCTGTCACAGGGCTGTGTTGTGCTAGAACATGTTTCAACCTACATACAGGTGTAACAGGTTCCAAAAGATGAACTTATACTTTTAATAAGACTGCTAAAAAGTTCCAAAAGCAGGTGGTGCTCTTCCATTCTAATAAACAGCCCTTCTATATGTGAGAGTTTCTGGTAGCATTGTTCAAGCTCTCAAACTCACATGGACAACACAGCCTATTCCTTTTATCTTTTATAGGTCTTGCACATGGCAATTTACATTAACAAGGTATGGGTGTACAGAGTAATATACAGTGGATATGGATATATAAAGTCAACAAATCCCTGTAAATACCAGGTTCATGAGATGCAGAAAAAAATATAAAAATCAGACCAAGATAAATCCCTTATAAATTTTTGACCAGTCACATTCAAACAGATGTTAAATAGTAGTCAGTACACACCTGTCATCAAGTGACTGATTAAGCTCATATAAAGATCTAGTAGGATTTTTCTGACATTTACTATGATACAGCAAAATCCATGGTCTGCAAAAACAGTGTAAAGCATCAAAGGGATCTCATTGTTGGAAGGTATTAGTCAGGAGAAAAACACAAAAAAATTTCCAAGACAATGGATATACCCTTGAACACAAACAAGTGGAGAAAATTTGGCACAGCAGTGATATTATCAGGAGCTGAACAGTCCTCCAAAATTGATGACAAAAACGAGAAGAAATTTGGTCCAGGAGACTGCCAAGAGGACTATAGCTGCAGGAATTTCTGGCAGTGTACTACATGTGACAGCAATCTCCCGTATTCATCATATATCTGGGCTGCAGGCTAGGGTGGAAAGATGGAAACCTTTTCTTACTAAGTAAAACCATCTGGTTTTTCTTCAGATGGAAGTGGGACTTTAGTTAAGGTGGAGGGACGTACGAGCAGGCCCCTGCTAAAAAGCTGAAGATGAAGAGGGATTTCACTTTTCAGCACGAGAATGACCCAAAGCATACCTCCAAATCAATAGAAGAATAGCTTCAGCTGAAAATGATCAAAGTTTTGGAATGGCCAAGCCAAAGCCTGAATCCAAATAAAAATGTGTTTGGTGACCTGAATAGGACTGTGTGACTGTGCAGAGATGCACTTGCAATATACAGATTTCAAGTGCTTTTGCAAGGAGAAGTGGGCAAAGATTCCCAAGGCATGATGTGACATGTTGATAGATTCCTACCCCAAAAGACTGAATACTGCCATAAAATCAAATGCGTTTCAACAAAGTATTAGTTCAAGGGTGTGCATATTTATGCAACATTATTGTAATTCTCCCCCCTTTAAATATTTCAGTTTTTAATTGCATTATATGGATTGTAGGGCAGATTTAAAGGTGGAAAAAAATGCAAAAAAGTGATTTACCTTGGTCTGATTTTTTTACATCTCAAAAACCTAGCATTTATATAGGAGTGTGTAGACGTTTTATATCTACTGTATGCTGTTAATTGTGGTGCCTAGGAAACACATCTTCAGAGTATATTTCCCCATAGAAATGCATTACAGAAAACGCTGTGCATATTATTTCAGCAGTATTTTTGTCTGCATGCCCCTGCTGTAAATAATGGCCATGTGCAAAACCCATAAAGTATATGCAAGGATAGGAACATGGGAGCTGCTATCGTTGGCTTGCATTAAAAGCTGCAAACCCCAGGGCTGCCATCCGGATTCTGGATTTACTACTATTGTACTAATACTTGCTATAGAACAAACATTAAGTCAGTGAAGCATGACAGATCTGAACTCTAATCCTGTATACTTCTTCCAAGTAAGGGACACATTAGGAAACAAACCAAGATAAAGGTTCCAAATTATATGAATTACTGTCTATAGTAAGTTAGTTTCAAAAGTTTGTAACAAACCAACCTTCTCAGCAAAAACTGGGTTTCCGGATATCTCTGTTAAATGGATAAATTCCAAGTGCAGAGTTCCAAATTCTGCTAGGATACTGCTGCCTCCTGATGCCCAGGGCCAATTCCGACCAATCCCACTAAATATCAAGACAGACAATATAGGATCAGAAAGGGAAAAAAAATTATAAACAAACTGCGTATTGATACAACATAGAAATTAATAATTTCCTGAGGCCAGACATAAAAAGTTGAGTGTGGAAATGATGCGGAGCAAAATCTACATATGGTAAACATGAGTAAGGGGCTTGCATGGATCCCTATCACCACAATAAAAAATGTAATTAAACAAAGTTAGTGCAAAACAATTTACTTGTCTGTAAATGCCATATCTTTAAGTACAGTACAGGACACAGGCATGTCATTCGTAACGTGTGTCCTGCACTCCAAGATATGGATTGTTCAGGTATTCAAAATTCCTCATCTTAGTCATACAGTACATTGCACAGGTATCTTAGTCATACACCATGGGATATCCTCAAGGAATGAATATAAGTGTATGGGCAACAACTAGGCAAAACGGAATTGTGCCAACAGGACAAAAAAAAAAACCCCAGGTTCAGAGTGCTGCTGCAAGAACCTTGAGGCCAAAAGCAGAAGATTGGACATCCAGCTGGTAAAAAACTTTTGAAAAAAATATGAACAAAAGACCAAGTGGCAGTTTTACATAGGTGGGCTACTGAGCCTTTAAGCCTTCAGATATTCCAATAGATCAATTGGGGGGGGGGGGGGGGGGTGTGTAAAAGGTCATGTGGAGGTTTTGTTTTAGAGCATAGGATCTAGCAATCAAATCCCTTATTCACCATGTAATGGTGGACTTTGAAGTGGGGTGCCCTTTGCAAGTACCTAGGGACAAAGAGGGAAGTTGTGGGTCTGATGAAAGCAGTAGCTTTTAGGTGCACTCTAATGGCTATGACTACATCCAGGCAATGTAGAGAGATTACCTTTGGGTGCTTAAGAGGAGGGCACAAGGATAGTAGAACAAGGTCATAATTGAGGTGGAATACTGAAACTACCTTTTGAAGAAAGGATGGCCAAGGGTGTAATACATCCTTTTCGTTGTGAAGTATGAGGAAAGGCCCTTTACAGGATAGGGCTACTAGTTCAGAGACACTCATGACAGATGGGGTGGCCACCAGAAAGGCTACTTTGCTGGCATGAATCTCTAAATAAATATCCCTGATGAGTTCAAAGGGTGGTTTCTGCAAGGCAGAGAGAACCAAGTTAAGGTCCCAAGGAAGCATGGAGTGCTGCAAAGTGGTTCTGACACGAAATACACCTTGAATAAAAGGTTTTTATAAAGGGAATTAGAAGACTTTGGAAAAAGATGGATAAGGTCAAACACTTGCCCCTTCAGGGTGCTAAGAGCTAGATTCTGCTCAAGACTGGTTTGTGGAAAAGGCCAGAATGTGCAGTATAGAGCAATTTCTGGGATTAAATTGACTGTGCTCACACCAGGAATAGTAAGATTTCCGGGTACGATAATAAATCTTCCTGCAAGTAGTTTTTCTTGCTTTTAGCAAGATATGATCACAGACTCAGAAACCCTTTGATCTGTTAGGACCTAGGTTTTAACAGCCATGCAAATAAAGCCAGAGACTGAAGCAGGGTGAAATAGTGGGCCATGAGATAGTAGATCTGGGCTATTGGCAAAAGGCTAGGGGTCTTCCGCAAGAGGTCTGAACAGGTCTTTGTACCAGGTTCTTCTGAGCCAATTGGGTGCCAGAAGAATCACTTTCTTCCTCCTGCTCTATTTTGCAAAGCAGAATGGTCAGAGGAGCAAAGGCATAGATTAGTCTGAACTAAGACCATGGAATAACTAGGGCATCCAAGGCCAGAGCATCCCTGGACCTGGATACAAAAAGTGGAAGTTTGATGTAGTATCTGTAGGCTAAGATGTCCACATCTTGAGTCCCCCCATTTTTGACATATCAGATCGAACACATCTGGATGAAGAGACCATTACCCTTGATCCAGTGGCCAGCTGTCAGTTGTCCACTCCTGGGATGTGGACTTCAGAAATCTCAGGAGAGTAGGTTTCTGTCCATGAAAAGATCTAGTTTTTTGGGTTCAAGGCAGTCAGGCTCCTAGTCCCTCCATGATGGATGATATATGGCACTGTGATGGCATTACCTGACTGTATCTGAATTGGGTGTCCCTTTACAAGGGGAAGGCGGGGGGTCCATTGCTGGAGTGACATCCTGAAAACTTTGAGCTCCAAGAGATTGATGGAAAGTTTGGCTTCTTCTCTTGACCATGTTCCCTGAACTGTCAATGATTGGAAGACTCCTCCTCAACCTCACAGACCTGCATCTATTGTGTGAACCCTTCTAATTGTAGAATTGTACTGGTGATCCATGAGGACAAGAATTTCTTGTTTGAGGGGAAAGGAACACAGGTAGATCCAGGGAAAGAGTATGCTTTTTTTCCCATGCTGACAGGATGTATAGCTGGAGAGTTCTCGAATGGAATTGGGGAAAAAGTACTGCCTCAGAGGAAACCAACATTAGATTCAGAACTCGCAAGACGAATCTCACTGTGGGATTTCTTTTGGATCTCAGTTGATGAGCATGAGCTCTCATAGAAATAATTTTCTTTTTTGAAGAAAAGACCTTTCTTTAGGATGTATCCAGGACCAGACTTAGATACTCTAGGTGCATGAAAGGCTGGAAAGCAGATTTTTCTTAAGTTGATCACCCAGCCAAGTCTGAAGCAGATGATTGTCTTTTTGGACATTAATGAGAGCTGAAATAGATGAATCCTTCAGAAAGGGTAGTCTAGATAACGTATCACCTAGATGTCCGGAGTTCTGAGAAACGCAAGCAAGAGTAAGGGCTTTGTGGACACCCTGGGAGCACAGGACAGGCCAAAGGGAATGTGACAAACTGGATATGGTCATCTACAACTGTAAAGAGTAGAAACCATTGATGTGGCTAAACAAGAACAGAAAGATAGGCATCTTGGATATCTACAGATGCTATGTGTTCCCCTTTTCTCAGTGAGGCAACTACGGACTTCTCACATTTTCATTCAAAACTTTGGAATGTGAAGGAATAAATTTGTTGAGGGTTAAAATTCCAGGATAAGACTAATACCATTTTTTGGGCTTTGGAACCATGACATGTTTGAGTTGAACTCATGTCTCTTATAGGCAACCTTTGCTATCAAAGCTTCTAGCCAAAGGAATCTGCGCATGTGAACAGATAATCAAGCCTTTCTGCATATTTGTCTCAAGATATGTTCCAGGACATCTACATACACAAAAAAAAAAAAAAAAAAAAGAAGGAAGCTGTCATGTTGACTGTTCTGATCAGCTAGCTGTTGGTCTGACATACAGAAATGGCAGCAAGAGTTGGTAGCAGGGCTGGGCCTGCCAGGTTGAAAGCTTTCAAGAGTGTCCCAAATTTTCTGTCAGCAGAATCTTTAAAAGACGGAAATTATTCAATAGGTAAAGTGGGATGTACAGTGAGACCCTGAGGGGGTCTTCAGAGATTGGGTTTCAAAGGGATGGACCATGGCCCTAAAACTGTATAGCACCCTGCAGCCAATGCAACGCATTGCCCTAAGTGCCAAAGTTAGCTCCCCATGCAGGATCCAGTGCCTAAAGCAACATTACAGGCCGTTCCCACAGCGTGGGATTGGAGTATGGATCCCAAGGTCTTACCAAGGTTGCACCCATCCAGATGCACTGTTTCTGTGTAGGCATTAGAAGACCGTGAGGTTGATTGAAGAATTCTTAAGAAAAACAATAAAGTAGTGAAACGGATTTCTCCAGGAAGAAGAAAAGGTCTATCACCTACAGACAGTAACAAAAAACTGACAACTTATGGAGTGGGGTAGGGTTATAAAGGGAGGCACTCCAGGAAATGCCCTGAAATGTTTACCAAAGTCCATTTACCTGAAGGTATAAGCTTACAACACATTGTGTATGAATAAGATACCCGCGTCTTGTGCTGTACGATTAAAATAACTGTTTTAAAGTTGAAAATGTAAACCTTTTATGGAACACATTAAAATTATGCAGCATATTATATAGCAATTCAGTTATGGAATGACTTAATTTATGTGAGGTGTGGCAATTAAATTCCTGGAATGCCTGTGGCATAGCACTATGGTGGTGAGTCACACAGCCATTCACACTCGTGTGTTTTGGCATGTTCTATCTTGCACTCGACTGAGTCACAGACCAGTTCACTTTATGGAGTAGTAGAAGAAATAACACGTGCGTGTGCGGTGAGCTGTTGACAGAAAATGAATGACAAGAATCTAGAGCAGTGGATGAACATCAAATTTTGTGTGAAAATTTAGCAAAAGCTTGAGTGAATCTTTAGCTCTTTTACAACAGGCTTATGGTGAACATTGCATGAAGTGTTTTTGAATGGCAATAAGTTCCCCTTTATGCCCTTCTCCCCTCTTCTATTTTTGGCACTTTTTTTGGAGTGGGGGGGGGGGGGGTGTAGTGGATACCTGATTCTGACAGGCGATCCACTGAAGATCTCCTTCCCCACCCCCTGCATCCTTCTGAGATATGTCACAGGTCCCGGAAGGCTGTGGTACCATTCACAGAGCGCAGTGCGGCTTGCGCATGCACAATGGGCAGCTACTATGAAGCCTCAAGCAATCACAGCCGGCTGTCCACCGTTAACATGCACCGTATTTGCAAAGTATTTGAAGCGGCTGACTTTTTTCAAACAGGGCAAAGAACAGCTTAAAGTGGCCCAAAAAATCCATTCTGAAACTTGACCAACTACCTTATTTAGCACCTTGTGACTTCTGGCTGTTTCCAAAATTTTAAAAATGCCTTAAAAAATACACAGATTTGATGACACTCCAAACATCCAGAGCACTGCAACAAAGATACTGCGCAGTGTTCTGGAAAACAAATTCAAGGAATCTTTCCAGCAGTGGCACAGTAGTTCAGAAAAGTGCATTGCTTCACAAGGGGACTACTTTGAAGGTGACAACAACCACTAGTGTACAGGTAAGCAAACATTTTTTCCTTTTACAGTCTATTTCAGGAATTAAATTGTCACACCTCACAATTGCACTTAATTATGGAAAACCTGAAAACGAAAAATCACATTTATAAGCCAATAAGAACACAAC